AGGGAGACTTTGTACAAAAGTCGATTGCTTGGGCACCTCTGTCCCGTTCGTGTTTCTACCGTGAAGCAGTTGTGTTTGCATGGCTGTGTTTCGGTTTGAAGGGTGGGATATGGCGTGAATTTACTGGGTACAGAGGAATAACACCTGAGTCCTCAGGAATGGCAACGCATGGGGGGTATCATGGGCGAAACAGTATACTCTGTTATGTCCATGGTACTGCTCATGTCTATAGGCGACGGTTACCACTTTCCATCAGGTGGACCGTCAGTTTGTTTGTTTCTAAGTTGTATAAAAAAAATCCTAAAAGCTAATATTTTTTTAATGCACAAATAAAGAGCAGGTGGGGGGAAAGGCATTGTTAGTAATGGAGGAGTAATGGAGTTAGAATCCCGTTGCTAGCAATATACCCAACCAGGTCGACCTCCTCGCGGTTCTCCCTGGAAACTATCATGGTTAATTCTTGATGAATTCATCATGATGGGCTAACTGGCCTGTTTTCATTCTCATCTATCACCCTTCACTGGTGCTCCGCCAGCGTATCCCGTTAGCGCAGGCGGGGTTACCATACAATTTACACCCATCAAAAAAAAATTAAAAGTAGGTTTTAATAAAATCATCAATTTCTATATATTTTTTAGTTTACATTGTTATTATAAAGTAATATATTATTATAAGTCGAAAAGATTTATGTTTGGAATGAAAAAAAAAACAAAAAAAAAATACTTAACCGGTATTAAAAAAAAATATACTTATAGAAAGTTATATTATATTGTAATCCCGCCCGCGTTTACGGACTACACTAGTGGGGCACCAGTGAGGGATGACAGGTGTGAATGACAAGGCAGGTCAGTTAGCCTATCGTGATGAATATATCGGGATTCTACCCAGCAAGGGACGTGGCGTGAAGATAGCATATTGCTAGTATCCAAGTAAACCATTAGCAGCGACGCACCCACCGTCGCCGAAAATAGTTCTGTACCAAATGGGTCACGCATTTCTTCGCAAAGGTCATTATCGATTGCACGTGAGGCCACTGCTTCCAGCCAGTAAAAATAAGTTCAGATACCTATCGAGTATAACGACGGCCAACCGCCAACACCTTCTAACTGACATTAAAAAAAATAGTTAAAAAAAATATATCTTACCTATCTCTTGTATTACATCGAGTCATTATTTTACTATTTATTTTATGGTTTTGGCTCTTCATATTTGGAATAGTTTCAGAATTAGAGTATTTTCTGTAAGACGTACATGTAATATTTAAATAGGGGGAGCATTTTGCAGGTGTCACAGAAAACACCCTAGGATTAGATCTAAAAATTTATAATTTTGTTTAACGCAAAACGCGACTTGATCGATGTGAAAATTATCGATGTAACAATTTTTACGAGAGCCCACTCCTTCTAAAATAATGTAGTTAGAATTAAGCATATTTTTACGTAATTACCCTTTAAACATTTATCTCTTCAAATGAAATATTATCGTAATTATTTATATCGTAGTGTATATTTCTATTCATGTTTACAATTCGGGGATGTCCGACTAGTTTCAATTTCAATAGAAGCCTATATTCATGAGCACGGTTCACGGCTGTGTTGCGAGCAGAAATAATTTCTACAAGAATTGGTAGAAAAAAAATATCTATTTCAATCAAAATAAATGTTATCAATATTTTGAAATGAAATTAGGACAAGTACTTGAATTTTTCATCTTCTATTTGCAACTTCAGTTCTGTATAAATTTAGAACTGTGTAATATACACATTTACATTAGATGCGCTCTAGTGTAATAATTTTCTTTTCTTTACTTCGGCTCTGGATGCAAGCCCTTTTGAGCCGACCTACACTGTGAATTCAAATCTTTTCCACACCTCTCTATATATCTCTATAATATATAAATCATCAAAATAACAAATGTCAAGAAGTTCAAAATTTCAAATTAAAAAAAAAATCGGTTACCCATTAAAAAAAAAAGTTGCGAACACAGCAGTAATAATAGGAACGAACTATCACAGTTTTTGAAAGAAATCTGTACAAAGGCTTAAAAATTCAGTTCTTGACAGTAAGCCTTCCACTGACTGCGGTACTTGTCTTGTTTTTATAATTGTATTACCACTCTGTTAGTACGTGAGTACATTATACTATATCCCCCCTGGAAACTATCTAACTGGGCTATTCATTTTCACCTATCATCGTTCACTGATGCCTCGCCAGTGTATACCGTTAGCGCAAGCGGGCTAACTATTCCAATATCATCCATTGGGGGGAAGTGATTGTTAATAATGGAGAGGTTAGTCCACATTGCTATTAATATCAATATATCTTATATGGTCGACCTCCACGCGGTTCCCCCTGGAAACAATCGTGACTAATTTATCCTTTATTGTATACAAACATATTGTTAAAAACAATTAATTTTAAACATAATGTAAAGGCTTATCTCTAATAAAAGGTATTATCCGGTCTATGCATGTTACAATGTTGTTCCACGTTTGTAAACACGCAGTCAGCTGTTGTTGTGATAATTAATTCCTTGATGTTGCAATTACATTTTACTAATCATTAGCTGTTACTAAATCACTTCAATTGATATGTATGTACGTGCATACATATATATTCTAATTATCTTCTCGCGAAATGTACGTGTGAAATAATGATTGACGTGTATCATTGACCCAGTTTGATACCGACCAGTTTACGTTGATCCCCTATTAGTACTTCATTTGTGAATCTCTATACACATTATATTTGGCCAGTTATTACTATTTAATTATTAATTATACTATTAAATAAAAATAGTTTGTATGTCTGTTTCTGCATTCAAAACGTGACAATGTTTGTTATACAGAGTGTCATTAAGTAAAACGCAGTGAGGTAGTCATGAACTGAATGGTTTTCCCCTACTGATGTGAAGAGGAATGCGTATATCGTAAAATACCGTGACTTTCATGGTAATACTATTCATGGATTGTTACTCCTATCTATCTATCCTATTTAAGAGCTGCGCTCTTGTCGGTGGAGCTCTTGCCACTCACTACGATTTTCAGCGAGTCTCTTCACCTCTTGATACGATACGACACCAACTCCTTCCTTGATCAGCCTGATGTAACTATGCCTCGGTCTCCCTCTTTCCTTCCTTCCCTCTATCTTACCTTCTATTATAATGTTCATAAGTTCGTCGTGTTGTAACAAGTGTCCCAACATTTTTCCCCTTCTGTCCTCGATAGTTCTAATAATTTGTCTTTTTTCCTTAACCCTAACGGTCCATCCTTCTCCAGCACCAAATTTCACTCCTATGGCGTGTTTTTTTTTAATGGATGTTGATGGCTGCCACGTGGCGGGGAACCAGTGAGATGATAGGTGAGAATGAAAAGGCAGGTCAGTTAGCCCACCGTGATGAATACACCTGGAATTCAGTACAATGCTTTATAGGGTGACCACGAGGAGCTCGATCTGTTAGGGTATATTGCCCTAGTGATAAGACCGCCTTTTGTACCTTTATGTGTATATTTCAGTCTGTATTTATGTTACTGTATTTCACTTGAATTGTTCAATTGTCATTGTATATTTTTATTTATGGTGCAATAAAGAGTTAAATAAATATTTTTTTTATACAATTTAAAATGGCAAATAAACTGACGGCCCACCTGATGGAAAGTGGTAACCGTCGCCTATAGACATGAGTAGTACCATGAACATAACAGAGTATACTGTTTCGCCCATGATACCCCCCCATGCGTTGCCATTCCTGAGAAGTCAGATGTTATTTCTCTGTACCCTATAAATTCACGAAAAAAAATCATTCATATTTATATTAAAATTACTAATTAAATCTGGTTTTTCCACAATTTAAATGTTTTTTTTTTACAAAACTCATTTTTAATCATTGATATCCAGACTCGAAATTATATTCTATCGAGTCTCCATATTGGTGTAATGAACTCTATGAAGTTTTACTAAGTATATGTACATTACTTATATATAACATTATTATATGCTGTTTGTTTGCTATAACATGTTAACAGCAAACAAGCAAAGCCAGTAAACATTTTAATTTATGGCTCCCCACTGATATGGATTTGGTTATCATTTTATCTTTTGTTTACTTTAAGAACGCATGTACTATGCCACATAAACAATTAGACGGGGTGACTTTTGCCGCGGTGGATTGACGTCAATTGGAAAACCTTATTTTGTATTTGCAAAGCAAAATGACTTCTAAATTAGTAATTTACAAAGAAAACATTAGATATTTTACTGAACTAGGTATTATTTTTATCTATTTATTTATTCATTAGTACATATATGTGTACATGGCGGACTTAATGCTAAAAGTATTCTTTTTTTTATACAACTTAGTATGGCAAACAAACTAACGGCCCACCTGATGGAAAGTGGTAACTGTCGCCTGTAGATATGAGCAGTACCATGGACATAACAGAGTATACTGTTTCGCCCATGATACCCCCCATGCGTTGTCATTCCTGAGGACTCAGGTGTTATTCCTCTGTACCCTATAAATTCACGCCATATCCCATCCTTCAAATCGAAACACAGCCATGCAAACACAACTGCTTTACGGTTGAAACACGAATAGAACAGAGGTACCCAAGCAATCGACTTTTGTACAAAGTCTCCCTCTGGTAAAATTCTCTCCCAGTCAACCTCAGGGAAGTGTCAGAGTACTCGAATGCGTTATTTTGCTGAAGTCCATATCATTTGTCAGTTGATTAGAATTATTTTGTTTAATTAACTGACAAGTGTTATTACTTCTGGTCATAATTATCATCATCATCATACCAGCCTTTAACTGTCCACTGTTGAACATAAGCCTTCCCCTTGGGGGGGATTTGCCAGTAGTTATTACGCTTGGCAGGGCGTACTGGCAATTGCAGTTAGGCTTTAGAGATGTTCTAAGAAGGACACTGCTGCTATAATAAATACATACAAAAATAAATACATAAAGCATTACTATCTATATATATTTTTTCTTTGTTTCAGATTTGAGGAGCATATTCCATATGAATGAATACATGTACTTAAAAACAGTGATATTATTAATATAGATAACAAAGTGCCAAAAACTAATATAAGTATCAACAATGGATCCAGGGTATTTCGACACGGAAAAGAAAAGGAACCCGAGGGAGACAGCTAACATATTTGCCAAGATATGTTTCTGGTATGTGGTGTGGCATTATTTTTTAACTGTCTTTGAATAGGAGGAGTATGACGAAGGAGGACTAGAAACTATTGACACCAGAGGGCTCCTCACAAGTAGTAGTGGTAGTAGGAGAGATTTTAACTGCCTTTTTTTAAAAGACTTTCAAAAGAAGGAGCTTCTTAGTCTGTTTATTTGTTTTTTTTTTGTTTGTTAGTATATTACAGTTATGTTATCGTTGCCAATTCCGATCCGTTGTTCTTAATTGTTTTCGTAACCGATAAGGTTTAATTCCATATTGGTCCCATATTAATTTTGTGACGGGATGGACTGTGTGAAAGATGACATATACAATAGAGGAGCGAGTCCGGAAATGATAATTAATGGGGATTTTTGGAAAAAGAAGACATACTGCGCCGATTCCAAATAAATGAGAAAAGGCAAGGCAATGATGTAGAATAATGATTTATAAAATTGAAATACATTTGTCATCTACCAAAATTACTACACCCTAAAAATAGGAATAAATTAATTATTAAATAAGTAAATGATGCAATTAATAAATAAGTAAATGATACAATGAATAAATAACTTTTTTTTATACAACTTAGAATGGCAAGCAAGCTGACGGCCCACCTGATGGAAAGTGGTAATCGTCGCCTATAGAGATGAGCAGTACCATAGACATAACAGAGTGTACTGTTTCGCCCATGATACCCCCCATGCGTTGCCATTCCTGAGGACTCGGGTGTTATTCCTCTGTACTTAGTAAATTCACGCCATATCCCACCCTTCAAACCGAAACACAGCCATGCAAACACAACTGCTTCACGGTTGAAACACAAATGGGACAGAGGTACCCAAGCAATCGACTTTTGTACAAAGTCTCCCTCTGGTAAGTGATGCAATTACTAAATAGATAAATGATGCAATAAATAAATAAGCAAATGATGTAATAAATAAATAAACAAATGATACAATTAATAAATAAGTAAATAATACAATTAATACATAAGTAAGCGATGCAATAAATAAATAAGTAAAGATGTTGGTACTACTACGACATTGCTCTACTTATAATTCCCGCATTTTAAATTAAAATATTTTCATTCTAATACGTTTCACCAAACATCTCATAGTTCACAGATGTGTTTTATCACGAGCGAAATCGTAAAATCCCACAGCCACTTTTTATCATCGCACCGCTCGTCATCGACAGGGAATTCATCCTTACACGCTAAAACTTGAATGGTCGCTTACAGTGCGGTCACAGAGGAGTTTTCTCCCGTGAACGCTTAGGCTTTCAAATGAGCTCTTAGCCTAAGAATTCTCTAGAGTATCGGGTTATTCAAAATGGTCATAGTAATGTTTCGGCAAGGCACGAAACACGTGACACCCTTAGTTTACTATCAGACGGGCTGTATACTTGTTTGCCACCTTTGTGGCATAAACAAAATTATGTACTTACTTCTGTGTGTGACTGTGTTTCGGTTCGAAGGGTGGGATACGTTGTGAATTTACTGGGTACAGAGGAATAACACCTGAGTCCTCAGGAATGACAACGCGTGGGGGTATCATGGGCGAAACAGTATACTCTGTTATGTCCATGGTACTGCTCATGTCTATATGCGACTGTTACCACTTTCCATCAGGTGGGCCGTCAGCTTGTTTGCCATTCTAAGTTAAAAAAGTTAAGTTAAAAAACCATAATATCACTTAGATTTTCATTGAAAATTCCTATTTTTTTTCGTAACTATCTCATGTAAATAATTAATATAATTACAGGTACACATGGCCAATATTCGCTAAAGGACGCAAAGGGCAGCTTAGCATATCAAATGTATATAGGTAAGTTATTTATTTATTTATTTATGGGATTACCAACATAAGATACAGCTAAACATTTCAATATAATACACTGGTAGATTAGATCTTACTGTTCTTACATTTATAGGCGACCACAGCATGCCTTGTGTTTGATAAACATTAAAATATAATTAAATTATTAAATGTCATTAAATGAGTAGAGATATTAACAATATGAATAATAATATAATATAAATAATGGAAATTGTATTAAAATTATTATAAATTATAAATAAATACTTTATACATATATTTAGAGAGGATGGTTAAAAAAAGAATCACGAAAGAGATTTATCGAGCAAGAATGAATAGAGATGTCGATAGGGGCCGCCCTAGACGGCCCTTTGGACGACTTTATGTCGACCAAATAGGCGATATGGTCGACATCGAAATGCGTGATGACCTTTTATCCATCATCAATGTCCAGAGGAATCTAATATATAGATATTGGATCGGTATTCATATAACCCATGCCTAGTGTCAAACTGTCCAATGATTTTTTTTTATGGGTGAAAATGGTATGGTAACCCCGCCTGCACTAACGGGATACGCTGGCGGAGCACCAGTGAAGGGTGATAGATGAGAATGAAAACAGGCCAGTTAGCCCATCGTGATGAATTCATCAGGAATTAACCATGACAGTTTCCAGGGAGAACTGCGAGGAGGTCGACCTGGTTGGGTATATTGCTAGCAATGGGATTCTCAGTCTCCATTACTAACGATCCCTTTCCCCCCACTGTCCAATGTATTGTTAAAACTGAACTATTCTCCGCAAATATCCTAGTCAAAATGTTTTTTTTCTAATCTATTTTTTTTCTGTCAATTCGTCTTATATAACTAGTCTATTCGTGGGCCCACGAGATTTATCTTAGACCACATCATCGCTTTTCACTAGGTAAGATCGTCGTCAATCGTGGGACCCTTCAATAGAGAAAAACCAATTATTAAAAAAATATTTCTAGAACATTCTACACTTCAAGTATATAGTCATAAAGTACCCTTTATCATTTCATCCATTATTCGTCCACTGCTGGATATAAGCCTGCCTCATAGACTGCCGTAAAAGACAGTCCTGAGTTATCTTCATCCACTGACTCTCTGCAATGCTAAAAATACCCTTACTAATAATCAATTAAGTAAATTTGAATTAATATTATTATAAATGTGAAAGTGAGTTTGTTTGTTACCTTATAGCGTCTTAACAGCTTAACCAATCACTATGAAATTTGGTATAATACTTATTATATGGAATAGAGAAGGACTATTTACTATTTTTATCTCGGTCTGTAATCATATCCCGGTTACAAGAACGAAGTCACGGGTTTTTTTTTACAACACAGGGGGCAAAAATGCGGCTCACCTGATGGTAAGTATCCGCCCATGGTCACCCACAACACCTATATATTGCCAGCCTTTTAAAAATCCTTTATATTACCCTATCTATATAATTTACAAGTAAATTATATATTTTCAGATGTACACCGGAGCACCGAGCCACACCGCGCGGGGATGTAATGTATGAGAAATGGAGCAAGGAACTTAAAAAAGGAGGTAAATTTTATCTACAATGTTTCTGGAAATTTAATTTAATATAATTTAATTTATTTTAATTTGTTTGTTTGCCATTCTAAGTTGTATAAAAAAATTAAATTCATTTCATTTCATTTCGTTTCGTTTACTTTAGTTTCGTTTCATTTAATTTCGTTTCGTTTCATTTCATTAAGAATAGATATCATTGGAAACACTACACAGCGCCATCTAGTGCCAAACTAAACAGAACTTGTATTATGTTGTACTAGACAGCAGGTGGAAATAATTATTAAATTGTTTTCTACAGTAAAAAAACCAACTTCAATTGTTCCAAAACCAGTTATTTTGATTTACAATCTACTAATAGAATCTTCATTCAGTTATTTATAACACTGAGCTGATTTCGATAAATATTATATGAGAGGCCAATCGGTTAACAACTGCCGTTGTTATGAAGTGACAAACATGGAAAGAATACAACCGAATTGAAAACCTACTTTTTTTAAGTTGGTTGAAAAGTTATCAAGTTGCAAGGTTGTTAAGGTCTTTTTCTTTTTTTTTTTTTTATTTCTATGTGTAACGTTCTATTTGTTATACATTTCCAGACAAAGGAAAGAAGCCGTCGCTGCTTCGGACAATAATCAAAATCCACGGCTTGCCGTTTATCTTGGGCAATGCGTTATTCGCTTGTTTTGAAAGTGGCACCAGGTCAGTAGGAGTATTCTTTTTTTTTTTTTAACTGGAGAAATTTGATCAGTGGTTTCGTAAATTTTTAATCTGTGGTTATTTTTTATGTGGCCAATACAATAAAATGTATTTTTTTTCATATAGCAACTTTTCTTTCTTTTATTTCTAACTTTTTTCAGATAAATATCAGATTAAATAATTTTTATTCGAATAAATGGATTTTCATTGAATTATTTAAAGTTTTATTATCTTCAAAACATTTTTTATTTATTTAATTATTTATCTATTTTTATTTATTAATCAAGTTACACATTTATTTGGTAACATATTGTCCTAAAAAAGACTAATTATATATTTATTACGATATTTTATTTACATTAGCCAAATTTACCTGTTATCATAAATAGGAGACGCGGAATAAATATAATAAAATTCTTAATGTAAGGAATTAATAAATATAAGAAAGTTCTTAATCTAAGGAATTGATAGATTTGTTTTTCAAATCCGTCAATTTTGAATTTAGAACTCAATAAAGATTTTTTCCTTCTGTTCCAGATTATTAATACCAGTGTGCTTAGAAAGATTAATCAATTACTTCTCGCCGACCCACGCCGGCATCTCTGACAGCCACGCGTATATGTACGCTGCTGGCGTAGTGGGGTGAGTTTCGATGTATATATACATATTTAATTTCAATCAAATCACGTTACATGATTGACCGTGTGGTCCCGGCATAAAATAGGCTACCCCTTCCTTTCCCGTGAGTGTCGTAAGAGCCGACTAAGGGACGGCGAGGGATGGGCAGCAGTGTCTCTCTTAAAACATCTCCAAAGTCTGTCTGCAGTTGCCAAACCGCCTGCCAAGCGTGGCAACTACTGGCAAACCCTCCACAGGTAGGGTTTATGTTCAGCAGTGGATAGTTAAGAGCTGATAGGATAAAGATGATGACGTTATATGGTAAATAATTAATATAAATGATTTTTGAATTTGAATTTGTCTTTATTAATAAAGTAGTTTATTTTTTGTTCTTCTTCTGCCTTTACGCCATGTCTTTTCTTACTATCCTTTAAATAAAATTAAGTTACTAGTTTTAAGTTGAATATGTTGATTTTTATTATTTCACCAGTGATTCGTCTCAACTCTGCATGAATAGATAGAAATTAAAAAAAATATATATATATATATATATATATATATATATATATATATATATATATATATATATATATATATATATATATATCTATATATCGGCAGAGTATATATATATATATATATATATATATATATATATATATATATATATATATATATATATTCGGTTTGAAGGCTGGGATATGGCGTGAATTTACACGGTACAGAGGAATAACACCTGAGTCCTCAGGAATAGCAGCGCATGGGGGGTATCATGGGCGAAACAGTATACTCTGACATGTACATGGTACTGCTTATGTCTATAGGCGACGATTACCAGTTTCCATCAGGTGGGCCGTCAGCTTGTTTGCCATTCTAAGTTGTATAAAAAAATGTATATTGCTAGTAATGGGGCTATTTGATCCCATTACTAACAATCCCTTTCCCCCCGTTTATACTGTATTTATCACGTTATTCATTTGCAGACTAATGGCCCTCAATGCAGCCATGTTACACCCAATGTTGTTGTGGTTATTGGAGATGGCGTTGAAGATTCGGGTCGCGTGTTCATCGCTCATATACAGGAAGGTTGGTTATTTTATTATAATACTAGCAATCCGTCCCTGCTTCGCATGAATAGATAGAAATAAATTAGTTTTTAATAGGCGAATTTTTCATACTTTGGGTTATGTTATTATAATTTTAATGGAATAATATATAGCCTATTTTACTAACTGATAATATAGCCTTCTATAGGCGAAAGAATTTAAAAAATTGTTTGAGTAGTTTTGTATTTTATTTATTAAATAAAAACATACAAAAAATGATAATATTACCACAGTAGATAAACAAGTACATTTTCCCCTCCTCCCTCCCCCCAAGCGACTATAATAGTGAATATGCACACACGTGACCATACACACGCACACGCACTCATGCGCATACACAATTTCTATCAGATATTCAAAGGTTGGCTGCAAGAGATAGATAGGTAGATACTCTTTATTGTTTCCTCCAAAAGATTACAATAGGAAACTTATTATAAATATAAACAATTACAAGAAATAATCACAATGAGAAAACAATGGGCGACCTTATCGCTAAGAGCGATCTCTTCCAGGCAATTGTAGTTGTTTGGAGGAAATAAATAACGACTAACTTGATTATATTATTGATTTTCATATAATGAGAGAATGACAGCGGAAATGAATGTGAGAAGTAAACGTCGCTGTCATGTCTGTATGTCCAGTGCGAAACATAGAAAGAGGTGAAATATCTATGTACAATTAAATTAACCTACTTGATGGAAAAGAAAGTAATGATGTTGACAAGTGGCTATGAGATGAATATTTACAATATTTATTTACAGACGCCACACAATCTCTTATGGGATAAGTCCGCCATTGTACTCCTTATTTTTTTAAGAACTCTGTATCTCATGTTTAGAACTAACAGAATTATTCATCGTGCCTCCCACCAAATTGTTTATAATTACTCCTCTCCATCCAAAGGTTGCCTGCAAGAGATCGCTCTTAGCGATAAGGTCGCCCATTGTTTTCTCATTGTGATTATTTCTTGTAATTGTTTATATTTATAATAAGTTTACTATTGTAATCTTTTGAAGGAAACAATAAAGGGTATCTATCCATCTATCCTATAATTTAAAACTTTACTGTACAATAAAGTGTTACAAACAAACAAACACATACTCGCACACACGCACACCGTTGAACGATAATATTTTTCGTAGACATCCTATATATGGGAGTAAACCTTGACCTTGGATCATTTAAAAATGCTTAGATCAGCCACTAGCTCTGGATGACACGTAAAAACCGTTTTTCGGTAAACTATGTCAGTGGTACTGGCCTAGAAACATTTGACGCTAGATGGCGACACAGTAGCACGAGTATCTTAGTAGTGGTCACCCGCAGCTCCTGCGGCTAGACTTGACGGTGGGCGGCAAGGCGTCCGAGGGCCTGGCGGGCCACGTGATCAACCTGCTCACCACGGACGCGCAGAGGTTCGACATGGCGTCGCTGTTCCTCGTGGACCTGGTGAAGACGCCCATCGAGAGCACCCTCATAGTGTACCTCATGTACCGGCAGATCGGCGTCGCGGCGCTCATTGGGGTTGCGTTCCTCTTGCTATTCATACCATTGCAAGGTCAGTTCTTTATATTACATAGATAGATTTTATTTTATTTATTAAAATGTATTTAAAATCAGAATGTGATGATAATTAATTGTATGAAATCGACTTGTATGTATAAATTTTGAACTGTCTGTGTAACTACATATGTTTGTATGGCGTACAGGCTAAACGTGTCGAACGAGATTGTATTGTTAACATCTGCATGTAGGGGGAAAAGGGATTGTTAGTAATGAGATTTAACAGCCTCATTGCTGGCAATACACCCTATCAGGTCGACCTCCACGCGATTCCCTCTGGAAATCATAGTGGTTATTTCTTGTTCATGTGGTCACTATGGGCCAACGGACCTGTCATCATCCTCACCTGTCACCCTTCACTGGTGACCCATCAACGTATACCGATAGCGTAGGCGGGGTTACCATTCCTTCTTCACCCATAAAAAAAAGACATCTGCATGTATGTATACGCATATTTTACGAATAAATCATGAATCTCGAAAAAAAAAAGAGCGTCGTGTCTCAAAAACGGATAAATTTTTTTGCCAGTTAATTATCAAATTAGCTCGTTTTTTTTTTTATCAGTGTTCATATATTTACACATAAAATGTACCGATTTTTAACAGACTTTAAAAAGAAGGAGACTGTACAAAAGTCGATTGCTTGGGGGTACCTCTGTCCCATTCGTGTTTCTACCGTGAAGCAGTTTTTTGCATGGCTGTGTTTCGGTTTGAAGGGTGAGATATGGCAGTGAATTTACAGCGTACAGAGGAATAACACCTAAATCCTCAGGAATGGCAACGCATGGGGGGGGGGGGGTATCATGGACGAAACAGTATACTCTGTTATGTCCATGGTACTGCTCATGTCTATAGGCGACGGTTACCACTTTCCATCAGGTGGACTGTCAGCTTGTTTGCCATTCTAAGTTGTATAAAAAAAAGGAGGTATGTTTTATTTTTTAATCAGTTTTTTGTTTTATCATCAATTATTTGTATTTGTCCAACCGCAGCGTACTTGGGCAAGGTGTCAAGCAAGCTCCGGCGGCAGACGGCCGTCCGCACCGACAACCGGATCAGGCTGATGAACGAGGTCATACAGAGCATCGAGGCGATAAAAATGTACGCGTGGGAGGACGCCTTCGCCAAGATCATCGGACAGGCCAGGAAGTAAGGCGCCAATTTATTTATTATTTATTTATTTATTTATATGCTTTCGTACATTCATTCATAGATATTATATTGATTGCCGTGTGGTCCCGGCATAGAATAAGCCACCCCTTCCTTTCCCATGGGTGTCGTAAAAGGCGATGAAGGTAAGGTAAGGAATGGGCAGGACTGTCCCTCCTAAAATATTTCCAAAGCCTAATTGTGGTTGCCAATCTGTTTGCCAAGCGTGGTAACTACTAGCAAAACTCCCCAAAGGGGAGGCTTATGTTCAGCAGTGGACCATTAAAGGCTGATATAGTAAAAAATTGTATATATATTTATTAATATATTTATATTTGTTTTTTTTTATAGAAAAGAAATGAACGTGATAAAAAAGATGTCGTGGCTCCGCGCCGTCATGATCTCGTGCGTGAAGCTGAACACGAAGGTGGCCATTTTCCTCAGCATCATATCGTACCTGTCGTTCGGCAACGACCTCACGGCCGCCAAAGTGTTCGTCATCTTCACCTACTACGAAATGCTCAAGTACACTCTGGTGGATTTCCTGCCTCTCGGGATTACGTTCACGTTGGAAGCGTACGTGAGCGTGAAGAGGATGCAAGAGTTCTTACTGCTGACAGAGGTGAACAATCAAGATGGCGTCGATTTGGTGAAAATTGAAAATGCCCAAGCCAACGGTGTGTTCGAGAAGATTGGCAACGGGTGAGTGTTTTTGCTAGTCGATTTTTACGCTTCATTTTTAAATGCGTGTGACTTTAAAGTTGATGTTATACTTGAAAAAATAGTATTTATTTATACTTTATTGAAGAAATTAAAGAAATATGATTGTGGAGCGTAAATATACAAAGGCGAGCTTAACTGTAACAGAGTTCTCTTCCAGCAACACCCAAAGTGGAAAGGAGCATTAATGCCAGCAAATAGAGTATATAGTTTGTTATTCGATGTTTCCAATATACCAATTTCGAACCGATTTTAATGAGTGAATATTGAACTTTGATGATTATAGTTTCCGTGTTTGTTTCATATTAAACGTTTTAATTTTTTTATTGTCGAACAAATTAATTACTTATCATTATTATATTTTAGCCAGCAAGCGTACATAAGGTCAGATAGCAACGTGGAACAACCCAAGCCTCAGTACGTGATCAGCATGAAGGACTACACCACATACTGGAGGAATGTGGACGACGAGGCGCAGGGCAAAGTCGTCGAGAACAGGAAGATAGCGGCGCTCGCTGACATCGACTTGAATGTGAGTAAAGAGCACGGTGTTTGTGTAGTACAGTGTTTTACAAAGTGTGGGTCGCGACCCCCTGGCGTGTCTCCAAGCTACAAAGTAGCTGCTTTCTTGTACTTACATTTCTTGTACTCAGTTACGAGAGTTACAATACACGACAGGAGCGGTAGCGGTAGAGGCTGGGCGAGTGCGACTTTATGTCGTGCGGCGAGGCCGACGGGCCGTCGTCGTAATGTAAAGATTAAAAATAGATAATTTTGTATGGGAATCGCTACTTCGTATGACTTTTAATAGATGGCATTGTTGATGATACAAAGTTCACCGGAAACTAGTTTATAATATTAATAAGCATAAGGATGTTCTAAATTCAAATTTAAATCATCTTTATTCAAATATACTTGTTTACAAGCACTTTTAAATCGTAATTTTTTTTTAATCTACTGCAGGCTTCGGAAGGTGATCTGTTGAGATGAGCCTGCGAGAAACTCAACAGCTACTCTTTTAAATCTCTGTTAACATTATGTGTATTTATTTAAATGTCTAAATTTACGTTGTCGTTAAAAGCCCGTGCATGATCAACTAACACCATGCACATTTGTTATTCAAGTAATCATTTAGTGTGTAATAGGCTTTAAATATACTCAACAGTGCTATGATAAATTGTAAAAGCGTCGATTTGCTTCAGATAAAACCGGAATCGCTGACGACGATAGTGGGAACAGTGGGATCGGGCAAGTCGACGCTGCTGCACGCGATCCTGCGCGAGCTGACGCCCAGCGCTGGGCAGCTGCGGGTCAGCGGGCTGGTCGTGTACGCCGCGCAGGAGCCCTGGCTGTTCGAGGCCTCTGTACGTACTGCACTGCTGTTTAACCAACTTCGAAAAAGAGGGAGGTTCTCAATTCGGTTATATAATTAGGTTTCTGTAGCAAAAAGAAACTAATTCTTTAGTTACTTTATGGTATGACTTTGTAGGTTCATCCATCACAGTGTTACATTCCGGCACTTATTAATGCTATCGATTTGAGATTTTTTTTTTTAATAATAATAAATTTATTTATTTATAAAAAAAAAACATTAATGTATGAGTTGGAATTTATTTAAATAGAATGAAAATAGTATGCACTTATTATAATAAGAAAAATAGAGAATTTTTTAATTTATTTGCTAGGATGTTTAAAATGGACACTCAAAACTCAAAATTGACTTCCTAGTCCAAGCAAAGTTTTCACATGAAAGGGCTTTCTTTGTATATTTTAAAACTGATTTTTATTTATTTTCATGCTGCATAGTTTTCTAGTTAAGGTCGAAAATATTTGAAATAAAATCCCCCATAATTACGGTCAAAACAAATAGCAATAAAGAAAAAAAAAAGCAGTACATTTTGCTGGTAATTGGAGTCGAATCAGTTGTTGCTATATATACATGCTTCCAGTGAAATGTACATATACGGCGCTGATTTTTAGGCGGCCCTTTAACTCATTTAACTTTAGCCTTCGTGTGGGTCGCCAATAACTACTTTTCTGATGCGAGACTTATCACATTGAAAAAAGTAAAAGAGAAAAGACTAAATCCAAAGATTAAAAAAAAGATCAAATGTAAGCTTGCTTATATTTTATATATATATATTATCATTTCAAGTCATTCTATTACACTCACCAGGTGCGTCAGAACATCTTATTCGGGCAAGACATGGACCTACGGAGGTATAAGCAAGTGATCAAGTGTTGCCAGCTCAAGACCGACCTGGAGATATTGTCGCACGGCGACAAGACCATCGTCGGAGAACGAGGTGAGTATTTTGTAGCGATTTCCAAAAGGAGAGGATTCTCGATTCGTCAAAAATATTTTATGGCCATGGTACGCGATTATGTTGCCAATTCCGAATCGCTTTTGACAATTATTTAGTTATTGATTTTCTCTTATATTTATTTATTCTTTAAGAATTATATATATATATATATATATATATATATATATATATATATATATATATATATATATATATATATAACCTTTGCGTAAAGAAGAAAAGAAAATACGATATCTGTTTGGCACAAGAAATGTATCTAATAAAAAAAAAATGCTCATGTTAACTAAATTAGATTACATCTAAATACTTACTATAGTACATTTTACATAAATAAATAATTAAACACATACATTTAGATATATACATATTGTAATATTATTCTGGAATTTTTAGGGTGTTTGTCCCATATTACCTTTGTGACGAACGAAGCTGATATTTTATTGCAAATAAATTTTCGCGTTTATTCATAATTCTAATGTTCCCAGTTTATTTTAGTTACATGACAATAATATATTGTGTAGTATAATAATAAAAGAAACTGGTAACAGGTACATCGTTGTCCGGCGGACAGAGGGCGCGCATATCGCTGGCCAGGTGTGTGTATCAGAACGCCGACGTGTATTTACTGGACGACCCGTTGGCGGCTGTCGATGCAAAGGTATTGTTTTTATGCTATTTACAAATTTCATTCTATTTTCGTATTTTTTTTTTGTTAAGTTTTTATCCGACTTCTAAAAGATGAAGCTTCTTAATTCAGATGCATTTTTTTCTACTATATTATGACATCAGTTCTGAACCGATTTACACAATTAATTTCGTATTTATTTTTGTATGTTCATTTTTATTCTCACAATTCTGTGTCCATTTTCAATATTAATATGTTTTGCCACAATTTATTTTATTTTATTTATTTTTGTGGTACAACAACAGATTACAAACAAAACTTTTAACAATAGAATACAACAATAGCATTATAAGTTTGCAGTCCAATTACAGTTGTACTCAACATTCACAGTGGTGAAACAGAATAGGTTGATTTTTAATACAAAAAAGAATTAATAATAAAAACTACATACAAAACAAGAGTCAGAAACAAAACTACCAAACTATGCTTATAAACTATTAGGTTATCAATGTATGTAAAGTGCTTCGATACAATGAAAATTTCTGATAGAATATGTCAATATCCGATTTACAATCAATGTTGTACAATTTGCACATTCTGTACATTGGATTATTATATGACACATTATTGTTTGAGAACGGTATAGAAAAGAGTTTTGTTGTACGAGAAGAGTGTTCAGTGGCTCTCAGGTTTATGTTCCAGCAAGTTACCTCCATGTCCCATTTGTCTGCTAGTGAACTGTCATATCTGTCTGTTTACTGTATATTAATCTTTTTTTTTTTTATTGTACGGATAATCCGGTAGTATTGTTTTATTGTTACCCTATTCCCTTTGGCCGCAACAGAATATCAGTGCTTTGCTCTTTTGAGGGCGAAGCAATAAACTGAGTTGTGGCCATTTTGTATTGCTATGGCACACTCACAAACGAAAGTTGCATTTGGTTTTATGTACTTTTTTGTCATTTATGTTATCTCGCTTTTTTTTTGTGTATGTATGTTGTAATTTGTGTGCTGTAAGTAATGCAAGAGAGCTCCACCGACAAGAGCGCAGCTCTTAAATGGATAGATAGATAGGAGTAATGCAAATAAAATTATCTATCTATCTATCTATCTATCTACTCCAATAAATTACCCTCTACTATGTTTATTTATGATATAAAGCGAAAGATATATAAAAAAAGAGAAGGTAAAAGTGTAAACCTTTCCCCGTGTTTACACTTTTACCTTCTCTTATATCTATTTGACATATTTATTTATTTAGAAGATCATCAATATAAGATACAATGAAATATTTCAATACAATACACTAGTGGATTAGGCATAACTGTCCTTACATTTAGAGACGACCACAGCATGCTTCGTGTTTGAGAAACATTGAAATGAATTGAAATTATTAAATATTATTAAGTTAATAAAGATATTAAAAATATAATCGTTATCTATACGGTTTATAAATACCAGAAATGTCAAAATATTATATTTGTAAATCACCGTGTCTTGGTAATTTCTAATTGACTCCCGCGATAAAGGTTCGCCTAGTGCGGGCTCCAATGTACTCACTGTTGTAAATTTCTTGTATTTAATAAATAAATAAATAAATTATCTAAATTTCTCCAAGTTTATATTATTTTTCTCCAAACATTTCTCCAAGAATTGCATATTTAAAAAATTTTATTAATAAAAGTTTTTTAGCCAAAACGGCGATAAAAGGTAACCAATCTGGCAACACTGGTTTTAACATCCGTTGTACAATACTCTTTGGTCTTCAAGCGTCTGTTGTATAGTTGTACAGTCGTTGTTCCTGTAGTGTAGTTCCACTATCGGCCCGCAGGTGGGGCAAGCGATCTACGAGGACTGCATCCGCGGCTTCCTGCGGGACCGGGCGGTGGTGCTGGTGACTCACCACGTGCAGTTCGCGCGCCACGCGAGCCTCGTCGCCGTCATGCGTGGTGGACGGGTGCGTACACGGATTTTTTTTATACAACTTAGAATGGCAAATAAGCTGACGGTCCACCTGATGGAAAGTGGTAACCGTCGCCTATAGACATGAGCAGTACCATGGACATAACAGAGTATACTGTTTCGCCCATGATACCCCCCATGCGTTACCATTCCTGAGGACTCAGGTGTTGTTCCTCTGTACCCAGTAAATTCACGCCATATCCCACCCTTCAAACTGAAACACAGCCATGCAAACACAACTGCTTCACGGTTGAAACACGAATAGGACATAACTACCCAAGCAAACGACTTTTGTACAAAGTCTCCCTCTGGTACTTTATCTAACAGTAATAGTAACTTAGACAAATACTGATGGTATAGAGGTTTTTTTTTTAATGGGTATTAAGTCAAGTCAATTATTTTTTTTGCACAAACATAGGTTGCATACATTACGTCATGTTATATACAAAATTAAGATCGCTGTGTTCCGCCGTTATGAAAATTAAATGGTAACCCTGTCTCTTTGATTACATAGATAGAGTGTCTTCATAGCTAAATGCTTCAAGAAAAGCAGATCAACTTTTTCATAGAATTTTGTGTTGTAAATAGATAGATAGATACCCTTTATTATTTCCTCCATAAGATTACAATAGTAAACTTACTATACTCAATACAAATAGTTATGAGTGATTCCTTTATAATTTATTTTTCTATATTTATTTTGTGAACACAATTTTTTTTATTAAATAATAATATAATTTCTGACCATGATTGTAACAAACCGACGAAAAATTGACGAATTCATTTGTACTGTTTTTGATTTGAGCCGATGCTCAACCCTCATTACATAGTATAATATTAGTTCAGCAAAATTTTTAGTGCTACATACAGAATGTTGATTTTATATAATTTATTAAATAATACGTCAAAATATATTTTATGCCTGCAGACTAATTTAATAATTAGCGTTCTCAACCCACACTTTTCATCCTATCACGAGTGGGTTGAAAATTAAAAATATAATATTTGTTTTTTAAAGATAGTAGCGCAAGGCACATACCAGGAACTCAAGAACGGGGTACCGGAGTTCGAGACGCTTATAGAAATGGGGGAGAAGGTGGAAGAAGAGAAGCAGAAGCAGAAGCAGAAAGCGGCTGGCAACTACGAGGCGCAGGAGTCTGTGGTGAGTAGTTTTCTAGAAATAGAATCTCTATGTAAACCATTTGACTGTCTCAGAGCTCAACAATACCTCATGCACAAGTGGTTTTAAACTATTTTGATAATGAAAAAAAAAAATACAGAAGTACAGTCAGTACAATTAAAATGTAGGAACATATCGAGATTTTTAGAATGAATAAAAACTGCATCATCAAGCTAAGGGAAGGAAAATTCAAAAATAGAATTATATATACATACGAACTATTCTAGTTTGTAAGGTGAAGTCCTCATACAAGAAAGGACTTGAACCGCTGTATATATTTTTTTTTTGATGGGTGAAAATGGTATGGTGACCCCGCCCTCGCTAATGGGATACGCTGGTAGAGCACCAGTGAAGGGTGATAGATGAGAATGAAAACAGGCCAGTTAGCCCATCATGATGAATTCATCAGGAATTAACCATGATAGTTTCCAGGGAGACCGCGAGGAGGTCGACCTGGTTGGGTATATTGCTAGCAGTGGGATTCTCAGTCTCCATCACTAATAATCCCTTCCCCCCACCTTGGTGGTTAATGCCACCTATTGAATCCTATATCGACTACATTGATCTGATATGAACTCTTATTTCCAGGCAGATTCTTGCATTCATATTTTAATTCTGCGAATCTGCCCGCTGCTTCTTGTACTTTAATTCTGCGAAGTAGCATATTATAATGGTTTGCTAAAAACAACAAAGAGTTTATTTATGCGTGTCCAATTCAACAATAGGATTAAGGACCTATGGAACCTTAGAATGTCAGTGCTACCAACAGTGGCTAATGTGGGAAAAGGGAGAGGAAAGGGGAGAAAAGAGGGAGAGGGAAAGTAAAAGGGAGAGCGAGTAATGGGCAATAGCGTCCCTCTTAAAACATCTCTAACGCCTAAAATGTGGCAACTATTGGCACACACGGGAAAGGAAGCTGTGGCCTATTCTATGCCGGAACCACACGGCCCATGTTATATATCAGCCATTAATTGACAACTGTTTAACATGGGCCTCCCTCATTATGGGGGGGGGGGGGGGCGGTTATTATAATAATCAGATATGTATTTATTTGTTTTCTTGCCAAGGTGCTCAATGTGCCAGTAGTCAATGAAGAAAGGAAAGCGGATTTGAAAAGTGTTAGTTTTATAACTGTGCTCCTTATTGTAGTTGCATAGTACAAGTAGATTTTGCTCCACTAAAAAACTTGTGACTTCAATGACCTCAAAATCAATATTCACCAATAATCCCATTATTCTTATAGTTTTTTTATACAACTTAGAATGGCAAACAAGGTGACAGTCCACCTGATGGAAAGTGGTAACTGTCGCCTATAGACACGAGCAGTGCCATGGACATAACAGAGTATACATTGTAATAATTATTGTACAAAGTCTCCCTCTGGAAAATTATTTCGCTTTAAACAGACATTTAATATAATAAAGGCCATGTAACAGGACTTTTTGACATTTGTTTATTTGCTTTAAATTGTAGGCTTGCAAATTTATGGTATTAATTAAATAAGGATACAAGATACGGAAGTCTACGGATTATATGACTTTGTACAAAAGTCGATTGCTTGGGTACCTCTGTCCCATTCGTGTTTCAACCGTGAAGCAGTTGTGTTTGCATGGCTGTGTTTCGGTTTGAAGGGTGGGATATGGCGTGAGTTTACTGGGTACAGAGGAATAACACCTGAGTCCTCAGGAATTGCAACGCATGGGAGATATCATAGGCGAAACAATATACTCTGTTATGTCCATGGTACTGCTCGTGTCTATAGGCGACGGTTACCACTTTCCATCAGGTGGGTCGTCAGCTTGTTTGCCATTCTAAGTTGTATAAAAAAAAATCTATCTATCTGTCTGTTTAAAATGTATGTATATACAAAGAATTACCAGTCAAGGGCCACGTTATTAAATTTATTTCGATTTGATATTATTATTTATGTCTTGTTATTATAAATGTTAATGTATTTACAGGAACATAATTACATGTTGCGCTCGCAGCGGTCAATGTCGGAAGCTTCACAGTTGTCGTTCAACTTGGACCTAGATAACAATCTGGATCCTACATATGAAGGTATGTGCCACAGAAAATTGTGTTTTATGTCAGCTTCAGCAAAGTTTTAATTCAAAGTTTACCTTTCGTGGTGTATTTAGGAACACACTCCGCGAGAGATGCGGGTTTGAATCCTGATTGAGCTGTTGGAGGGATACATTCGTTTAAGATTTAAAATTTTCAATAATGCAAGATTTGTATTTTCTTTTTTTTTTATACCACTGACGTGGCAAACAAGCGTACCACCCACCTGATGGTCAGCGGTTACCGTTGCCTATAAACGCGTGCAGTATCAGGGGCATTACGCACGCGTTACCAGCCCTGAAGAGACCTCTTTATCCCTTTGTTTGAAAAACTTCTTGCTGAAGTCACTTCTTCTTTTCAATAAAATTTTCATAATTCAGGAGTCGGTTTTACAGTGAAATTAAAATAATATCATTAACCTCTGCCACGTCTAAGATGTCTGTTACGAGTATGTATTATTTTTTTTTATTTCAGGGGAGACTCAAAAGAAGGGTTCCGTGGACAACAGCGTGTACCTGACTTACATAAGAAGCGGGGGCAATAAATGTTCGATGCTATTGTTATTCGGCCTGTTTATAGTCGCGCAAATGTTCTACTCCTCCACGGATGTGTGGCTCAAGGAATGGTAAGTCATTCGCTCTTTCGTTCGTATTTCATTCATTCTTTCATTCGTTTTGTAATTCGGTCTTTTGTTCGTTCTGTAATTCCATCTTTCATTACTTCTGTCATTCCATCTTTTAATCATTAATTCGTTCATTCTTTAATTCGTTTTGTAATTCCGTATTTCATTCGTTCTGTAATTCCATCTTTCAATCTGAAATTAATTCGTTCTGTAATTCCATCTTTCATTCAGTAATTCGTTCAATCGTTTTGTAATTCGGTATTTCATTCCTTCTGTAATTCCATCTTTCATTCAGTAATTCGTTCAATCGTTTTGTAATTCAGTATTTCATTCCTTCTGTAATTCCATCTTTCATTCAGTGATTCGTTCATTCCTTTTGTAATTCCGTATTTCATTCGTTCTGTAATTCCATCTTTCAATCTGAAATTAATTCGTTCTGTAATTCCATCTTTCATTCAGTAATTCGTTCATTCGTTTTGTAATTCGGTATTTCATTCCTTCTGTAATTCCATCTTTCATTCAGTAATTTGTTCATTCGGTTTGTAATTCCGTATTTCATTCAGTAATTCATTTGTTATTTTATTACTTGAAAATTTTTAAACATGTAATTATTATTTCAGGGTCAATCTAGAAGAAGCCAATAGCGCTGTGGTTAATGCATTCAAAAATCAAAGCCTAATAGACGGTAGCTATAATCAATCCAGCTTTACTGGTTCTCTTAACCTGACCAGTCAACTGAACCCAACAATGAATCAAACGTCAGTAAGCCAAACCACCGGGTCGAATGTCGCCTCTGATCAGAACAGCTTAATGAACAGTGTCCTAAAGGAGAACATAACTTCGTTTCAAAGTAAATCACCTCTAAAATTTCTTCTCATTTCTTATTACGTGATCAGATTTTATTTACCAACAAAATTAACTAATTGACTAACTCATCTTTTTTAGATAACTTCCCACCTGACAAAAGTGGTGGTCTCTGGGTGGAAGGGACTATTTGTAGTTTTTGTTTTATAAATATGTGATAATGGATTAGTGAAGTTACGTTGAAAGCTGGCCAGTTAGTTCACCGTGACGAATTTCACTAGAATTAACTACGATGATTTACAGGGAGAACCGCGTGGAGGTCGACCTGATAGGGTGTATTGCTAACAATGGGTCAGTTAGATCCCATTACTAACAATCTCTTTTCTCTCAATTGTTAGTACTTTAGGACTTTATTAAGCACCTCATTTTAATAATATACCCACCCAGATCGAACTCCATTACAGTTCCTGACTCTTTTATGTCCATGGTACTGTTCATGTCTATAGGCGACGGTTTTCACTTTCCATCAGGTGGGCCGTCAGCTTGTTTGCCATTCTAAGTTGTATAAAAAAAAAAAAGTTTAATTAATTTATTTATATTTTTTTGTACAAGAATTCCCGCGACTGACTTTTGGCTTTTGGCCACAACAGAATATCAGTGTTTTGCTCCTTTGTGGGCAAAGCAGTAAACTGAGTTGTGACCATTTTGTGTAACTGTGGCACACGCACGACAAATTATGTTACCTCTTCTGTGTACTTTGTTTTTTTTTTTTTTGTTTGTATATGTTTTGTTTTATTTCTTTTTTAAGTATGTACTAATATCTAATCTTATTTGTGTGGTGTAAGTGATGCAAATAAATTATGTATCTATCTATCTATATTTAAAGTATTTATTATTGCAATAAAATGTAAAATAAATAAATAAATAATACATGTAAGCATTACTACTACATGGCATAATCTGTATTCCATCTTTGAGAAACCTTCTATAGATAATCTAATTAGAAACCTCCTATGCAGACGTGACGTTCCAAGATCTACCCAGCAACTACTTCCACCTGACCCGGGAGCAGTGCGTGTACGTGTACGCCTCCCTGATCCTGGTCTGCATCTTCCTGACTTGGAACAAGCTGGTCGTCTTCTACAACACCTGTATCAGGGCGTCCGTCTCGCTCCACGACTCCATGTTCAGGTGATGCTCTAGTTTAAGGCGTTTCTAGGATACTACCATCGAAAGGGAGTTCACCTTCATACACTACAGCCTAAATGGTCGCGTACAACGTTCTTTCAGAGATGTTTTCTCCCACGAACACTCAGGTTATGGCATGAGCTCCCTGCTGAGGTTTTCCCAAGCAATTACACCATGGAGTTCTCTAAGAGGGGGGTAAAGAGGTTTCTTCAGGGTCGGTAACGCGTGCGTATTACACCTGGTATTGCAAGCGTTCATAGGCTACGGTAACTGCTTACCATCAGGTGGGCCGTATGCTTGTTTGCCACATTCTTGCTCGATCTGGATGTTTTCTATGTCTGATAGGCATACAAAAACATGTATTTATAAATTGTCTATTGTTTGTAAACCTAAAAGTTTTATCCCTCAGGGGTGTAACGAATGCGCCGATGTGGTTCTTCCACCACAATCCGTCCGGTCGGATACTGAACCGGTTCTCGAAGGACATGGGCCAAGTCGACACCCTGCTGCCCGTCGCCCTGGTCGACTGTCTCGGTGTAAGTAGTAATAAAATTAAATAGTTGTAAATTAAATTAATTGTATTTAATTAATTAAACAAATAGTAGTTAATTAATTACATAAATTGCAGTTAATAAATTAAATAAATTGTAGTTAATAAATTAAATAAATTGTAGTTAATTAATTAAATAAATTTTAGTTAATTATTTAAATAAATTGTAGTTAATTATTTAAATAAATTGTAGTTAATTAATTAAGTATTTTGTAGTTAATTAAATAAATTGTAGTTAATTAATTAAATATTTTGTAGCTAACCCCTTCCTTACCCCTTCTTCACCAGTTCTTGTTCGAGGTGCTCTCAATCCTGGTGGTGGTGTGCCTGGTAAACTGGTGGCTGCTGGTGCCGACGGCTGTGGTGGCGGTGTTGCTGTACCTGCTCCGAGGATTGTTCCTGTGCACCAGCAGGGAGTTAAAGCGGGTTGAAGCTATTGGTAAATTTATATGTATCTCACTTATGAAATTGTAACTATATGATGTCTGTATGTAGGAAATCTTTAAGAAAAATTAACATAAAAGTGTCTCAATTAAGAGTAAGGGATTCCGATCGATCGCTAAAGCTCAATAATTGCAATGCTTTTTATTAAAATAGCCAAAAAAATAGTATTTCCGCGATACTATGTTTTATACTGGTGACCCAGCATTAGGAATCGCTGACTATGAACCATAGACCTTATAAACAATGGCATAAGGTACACACTTAAAAATAACAGCCCTTACACTTTCTGTACATACTTTCGATTGTCTGGGCTCTTAACTCGTATATTTTTGAAATATTTGCCAGCGCGCAGTCAGTCTCTCAACCACGCGGCCGCGACCGTCAACGGCCTGACGACGATTCGCTCGACGCGGGAACAGCAGCGCACCCTGGCGCGCGAATTCGACAAACTCCAAGACCTGCACTCCTCGTCGTGGACCCTGGTGCTCACCACCAACCGGGCGTTCGGCTGGTGGATGGACATGGTCTGCTGTCTTTACCTTGCGTTCGTCACATTCAGCTTCTTCTTGTTCTCCGGTGACGGTAAGTTGGATAAATGATATATATGATCGGATAAGGCGGGATTCTCACTATAGTTATTATTGATTTATTCATTAGTACATATATGTGTACATGGCGGACTTAATGCTAAAAGTATTCTCTCCCAGTCAACCATAGGGAAGTATTTTTTTTTATTTTTTTTATACAACTTAGAATGGCAAACAAACTGACGGCCCACTTGATAGAAAGTGGTAACCGTTGCCTATAGACATGAGTAGTACCATGGACATAACAGAGTATACTGTTTCGCCCAAGATACCCCCATGCGTTGCCACTCCTGAGGACTCAGGTGTTATTTCTCTGTACCCTGTAAATTCACGCCATATACCACCTTTCAAACCGAAACACAGCCATGCAAACACAACTGCTTTACGGTAGAAACACGAATGGGACTAAGGTACCCAAGCAATCGACTTTTGTACAAAGTCTCCCTCTGGTAAGTGTCAGAATAGTTCCGTTTGGTCAGTAAAAATAGTTCGAGATTGATTGAAACGGTACTGTAGTGATATATGAATACACATATTGTTTCTTACGTAATGTTTCACTAGACTAAGATTATGCAGATGCGTGTTTGAATCCGGCCTTACAGCTTTCTAATTTTTTTATTTTGCTGTTGTATTTGCATTGTCTCTCGTCATCTACCATTCTTATGTACAGCGCCATCTACCGGTAATACTTTTATTACCGCTAGATGGCGCTGTACATATAAATTTATAGACTACTAAGTCTAGAACCGTTTTATAGGTAATTTTTTTGTTGACAAAATAAGAAAGAAGCATTTTTTTTTTAATTAAAAACTCACAAAGTTAACATTACAAATATTTGAGAGTAATAGTATATTAATAATAATTTACTTGAGCTATTGAATGCTTTTTATTTTATATTTTTTATTTTTAGGCTCCCTCAGTAAACTCATCTTCTATTAAAATTGATAATTCATATTGATTTGATTGTATCATTAACGTGATCTTGTATTGCAGACACGCTAGGCGGTAACGTGGGCCTGGCTGTTACGCAAGTGATAGGTCTCGTGGGAATGTGCCAGTTTGGTATGCGACAAACCGCTGAAGTGGAGAACCAAATGACCTCAGTAAGTATGAGTATTTTAAATAGAAAGCAGGGGCGAAAGGGATTGTTAGTACGGGAGACTGAGAACCCCATTGCTAGCAATATACCCAACCAGGTCGATCTCCTCGCGGTTCCCCCTGGAAACTATCGTGGTTAATTCCTGATGAATTCATCATGATGGCCTAACTGGCCTGTTTCATTCTCATCTATCACCCTTCACTGGTGCTCCGCCAGCGTATCCCAATAGCGCAGGCGCAGCTACCGTTACCATACCATTTTCACCCATAAAAAAATAGAAAGCAGCACATTGTTTCATAGTGCCAGCAGAATGTGAACGGAAAAGTTGGAATATGCACATAAATACTAGCCATTCTTTCCAAGATTTTATTTTATACCATGAAGGTATAAAATAAAATCACAAGCATACAGCTCGTCTGATGGTAAACATTCACTGTAGCATGGAACACTAGGGAAATCGTGGGCGCGTTGTCGACTTATAACACCCTTTTTGAAGAACTCCACACCGTAGGCTCCAAGGAAAACCTTGACAAGGAGCTCATTCCACAGCCTGAGTGTTCTTCTCTCTTCTCTCAACTCTTTTTATACTTATACACAGGTGGAAAGAATCTTGGAGTACCAGAATTTGCCGCCAGAGACCCCAGTAGAGATGAACAAGAAGGCTTTAAGAGCTAATCACCCGGAGCTGGACTTCGACAAATGGCCCAGTAAAGGTAATATAAAAAAAAGACGTGCAGTCGGGGACTGCCACACGTCTTTTTATTATACATAATGAAGAATGAATATATATATATATATATATATATATATATATATATATATATATATATATATAGATATTGAGAATCGAAATTGAAAACTTAAACTATATGGGTGTGTGTTTATGTGTATAAAAGAGGGCTACTTTTAAAATCGCTCATTTCAAAATCCAAAATTTAGGTTATGTATTTTTATAGCAGTATTATATATAAATTCAAAAACAAAAACACTGCATTTGTGATAATAAATAAAATGTATTTATATAGAGTACTCACTCATTTTCTTTTACTATTTTTTCATTACTTTCTTCATTAATAAATGCACTTTGTTTATTCATATTTAATATTAAAACACTTTATACACAAATTTTACGCGTACAGCTATTCACTGTTGGACATAGATGATAAATACCTATACACCTATATACATTCTTACAACAGCTGCTTACGTATTCGTCCAATTCCGGAGCAGCTCGCAAAAAGCACGCTGTCTCACCTAGCATTGTATCTAATAAAAGAGATAGAATCAGTTATGAGCAGTCAGCGGCTAGTCTACACGCATACGTCTACTCGCACGCACACAAACACCGTGCCGAAGTCTGCCGAACTGAAACGACGTTAGACGATGCACGGCTTCCGTCCTCGCACCGCTCTGCCGCCGTAGTGCCGCCGCTGAGTGGGGGGTGTTAGGTTCCATTTCCGTTACGGAATTTTTACATTCGGTCTCCGCGCTCAAGGCCCGCGATAAAAGCTATACAATAGCTTCAAAATATTGTTGTTCGACTTTGTCTTAATATCGAATAGAAAAACGTTTTGACTGATCACAGAAGACACTTTTGACTCTCGAAATATGGTTAGATGTATGATGTTAGGTTAGATGTAAGGAAAGGCAAGGGATGGGCAACAGCGTCCCTCTTAAAACATCTCTAAAACCTAACTGCGGTTGCCAATCCGCCCTGCCAAGCGTGGCAACTACAAGCAGTACAAAGTAATCCTATCCCTAACTAGTTCATAATAATATTTGCCAGATGATTGATTAATTAAATTAAAATCTAGGCGAGATCGTCTTCGAGGACGTGAGTCTTCAATACCAGAGCCCCCCAAAGAAAGAGGAGCCGGTGAAGGCGGGCGAAAAGCCCGAAGAGCCAGTGTACGCCATCAGAGGGGTGAACTTCCACATCCGGCCCGCGGAGAAGGTGGCCGTGGTTGGAAGGACCGGCGCGGGCAAGAGCTCGCTTATCAACGCGCTATTCAGGTATGTTTTTTTTTTTTGGTAGATGAAAATGGAATGGTAACCCCGCCTGCACTAACGGGATACGCTGACGGAGCACCAGTGAAGGGTGATAGATGATAATGAAAACAGGCCAGTTAGCTCATCATGATGAATTCATAAGGAATTCACCATGATAGTTTCCAGAGGGAACCGCGAGGAGGTCGACCTGATTGGGTATATTGCGAGCAATGGGATTTTTAGTCTCCATTACTAACAATTCCTTTCCCCCCTAGTCAGGCGTTTGCTTATACTTTCAACCGACTGCATACAGAAGCAAGGTCTCAATTCGGTGTTTTTTTTTTGTGTTTGTTACCTCATAACTCTGTTAGTTCGAGTTCAGTTTGGAAAATTCTGTTTTTTATCTGAAAGGATATACTTAAGATTAGCCCCATGGATATTTTTTTATAAAAATCAATTCAAAAGTTTAGTTTTCGTCGACCTCCACGCGGTTCCCCCTGGAAACTATCGTGACCAATTTATCATTGAATTCGTCACAATGGGCTAACTGACCTGCCTTTTCATCCTCGCCTATCACCTCTCACTGGTACCCCGCCAGTGTATACCATAAAAAAAAACTTCATTAGCATATTTTCTTAGGAGAGAATGAATGAATGCTAACTTTATTTGCTTGAATACAGCTTATTGGGGGGAAAGGGATTGTTAGCAATGGAGTTTGACAGCATCATTCTTCACTGGTGCCCCGCCGGTGTATACCGATAGCGCGGGTTGGGCTCCCATTTCATTAAAAAAAAAATACAGCTTATTGCATTAGATGTATTTAACGTCAAAAACAGAATCTCTATTCAACCGAGTGTCGTGCAATTATTTAATTTGAAACAAGCCCTTAAAGCCGGCCCCCTGGAAAATTATTGAATGCATAGGAGTTTCGTTGGCACGTGGATATTGATTGTTATGTCATATGGTCAGGCTGAACCCGATTACGGGCGCGGTGCGAGTGGACGGCGTGACGGCGGAGGAGGCAGGGCTGCGCGCGTGGCGCTGCCGCCTGGGGGCGCTGCCGCAGCGGCCGGCACTATTCGCGGGCTCGCTGCGGGACAACCTCGACCCGCGGGGGCTACACTCCGACGCAGACCTGCTGGCCGCGCTCGACCAGGTACGACTCGTGCATGCTCATACATAATACATTCGCAATTCGAAAAAACCTATCAAGTTCACTACATGTTATACAAAAATCAGGAAGTTTAACAGAAAATAAACATAGAGACCGTGAAGCAGTTGTGTTTGCATGGCTGTTGAAGGTTTTGAAGGGCGGGATATGGCGTGAATTTACTGGGTACGGAGGAATAACACCTGAGTCCTCAGGAATAGCAACGCATGGGGGTATCATGGGCGAAACAGTATACTCTGTTATGTCCATGGTACTGCTCATGTCTATAGGCGACGGTTACCACTTTCCATCAGGTGGATAGTCAGCTTGTTTGCCATTTTAAGTTGTATAAAAAAAAAGACTCCAACACATACAGTGTTACTATCAATAAATTTAACAGAAGACTCCGAAGAAAGTCAATCAAAAGTTAGTAAACCACCACCAATAATCTTATATGGACCTATCAAAATAGACTGAACTTCTAAATGAATTTGCACCCACTGATAGATTCTCATATAAAAGAATTACTAGAGATCAAATTAGAAATATGACACAATCAGTTGAAATCTACAAACATTTTAGTTGAATTTGCATTAATCCGAAGTAAGAGCCGAAGTATGATTTATACTTTTATATAAAAAGAAAATAAATGCTACGGAATAGTCATAAAAAATAAAGACCATACCTAAAGAAGCTATAGGTGAAGGAATAGAAAAGGCAGGCAATAAGGTTCAAGGGGAAATTATATGCCCAATATTTTCCAATTTGCCCAATATTTTCTAATTTGCCCAATATTTTCCAATTTGCCCAATGTTTTCCAATTTGCCCAATATTTTCCAATTTGCCCTATAATTTCCAATTTTCCCAATTTCGGTAAGTATGAAAATGGCAATACGATTTCTGTTTCCTATACAACAGGCTATGTCTAGTGTAGGAAATAATGATAAACTTTGTGTTTACACAAATACACTTTGATAATAAATACATATCATGGAAATGCAATATTAAATATGCGAGACAGGGGACGAGTGACAGAAGTGGAGGTTGAATACGCACTGACTTTGACCTTATAACATACATAAGTACCCATCTATTACTAATATAAATACATGACACGCAAAAAAGCTAGTAAACAATTTTCTTCTAAACTTAGAATTGTCTAAATAATCCAAGTGTAAATACGACATTTCTAAATCTCGACGCCAACAGTATGGACAAATATTTTAAATACACAATCGGGACTTAGTTTAAAATATGGATATAAAGAAAATAACTATATGCGCCCATTTAGATGCGTCAAGTATCCAGCAGAATACTGTACTATTACATCGTTACAGTAGAAAATAAAGAATACTTGGGAATGTTCAAATTAATTTGGATTTTTTTGATGGGTAATAATAGAATAGTAACCCCACCTGCGTAGACGGTATACGCTGGTGGAGCACCAGTGAGAGATAATAAGTAAGAATGAAAAGGCAGGTCAGTTAGCCCATCGTGACGAATTCCGCTAGAATTAACCACGATGGTTTCCAGGGGGAACCGCGTGGAGGTCGACCTGATAGGGTATATTACTGGCAATGGGTCAATTAGGCTTTGGATTAGGTATGGTATCGTAAAAAAAATAGTACATTACTGCAGCGGCCAGCAACTGAGGTATTGATGGACGAACGTGCAAATGTGGGTCGAGGCGTAGCCGAGGTACACATACGTGAGTCCATCAATGCCTAATTGTGGCCAAGGCTTGTATAGTACTTTTTTAAAAAAATGCGCGGAAATCAAAAACACAATTTTACTTTTTAAGTTCAATGACGAATAACAATAATTTTTCACGCGCCATAATGTTCCTTTGTTTTTTTTTTTTCAATACACAGCTTTCTATTTGCAAGCCAGTTTGAAATTTAAATAAAACGTTTTATTAGTCACCTCTTTGATAGCTATGTTTTGTAGTAGTAGTAAAAGGTCACTCCATTTTTAAATTATAGAACAGATATGAGTTTACATGGTAATTTATCTGGCCGCAAAACACGACAGATATGGATTTTCATACAATTTTTGCCGGCCGCTGCCCGCATGTATCTGGCCAGTACGGCAATTTTGATTTATCTCGAAGAAGATTGCCAAAATAATGCTCACATTTCCAAGCATGTTTGAGAAAAATGTGGTTGCCTCGTGGGCAGGTGGAGCTGCGGTCGCTGGTGGCGCAGCTGGCGGCGGGGCTGAGCAGCCGCGTGGGCGACGGCGGCGGCGCGCTGTCGGGCGGCCAGCGCCAGCTCGTGTGCCTCGCGCGCGCCGCGCTCGCACGCGCGCCCGTGCTCGTGCTCGACGAGGCCACCGCCAGCGTCGACCCCGAGTGAGCACACACACACACCCGCGCACACACACCCGCGCACACACACCCGCCCGCGCTCGCACGCGCGCCCGTGCTCGTGCTCGACGAGGCCACCGCCAGCGTCGACCCCGAGTGCACGCACACACACACACACACACCCGCGCACACACACCCGCGCACACACACCCGCCCGCGCTCGCACGCGCGCCTGTGCTCGTGCTCGACGAGGCCACCGCCAGCGTCGACCCCGAGTGAGCACACACACACACACACACCCGCGCACACACACCCGCGCACACACACCCGCCCGCGCTCGCACGCGCGCCCGTGCTCGTGCTCGACGAGGCCACCGCCAGCGTCGACCCCGAGTGAGCACACACACACACCCGCGCACACACACCCGCGCACACACACCCGCCCGCGCTCGCACGCGCGCCTGTGCTCGTGCTCGACGAGGCCACCGCCAGCGTCGACCCCGAGTGAGCACACACACACACCCGCGCACACACACCCGCGCACACACACCCGCCCGCGCTCGCACGCGCGCCTGTGCTCGTGCTCGACGAGGCCACCGCCAGCGTCGACCCCGAGTGAGCACGCACACACGCCCGCGCACACACACCCGCGCACACACACCCGCGCACACACACCCGCCCGCGCTCGCACGCGCGCCCGTTCTCGTGCTCGACGAGGCCACCGCCAGCGTCGACCCCGAGTGAGCACACACACACACCCGCGCACACACACCCGCGCACACACACCCGCCCGCGCTCGCACGCGCGCCCGTGCTCGTGCTCGACGAGGCCACCGCCAGCGTCGACCCCGAGTGAGCACACACACACCCCACCACACACACCCGCGCACACACACCCGCGCACACACACCCGCCCGCGCTCGCACGCGCGCCCGTGCTCGTGCTCGACGAGGCCACCGCCAGCGTCGACCCCGAGTGAGCACACACACACACCCGCGCACACACACCCGCGCACACACACCCGCGCACACACACCCGCCCGCGCTCGCACGCGCGCCCGTGCTCGTGCTCGACGAGGCCACCGCCAGCGTCGACCCCGAGTGAGCACACACACACACCCGCGCACACACACCCGCCCGCGCTCGCACGCGCGCCCGTGCTCGTGCTCGACGCACACACACCACCGCCAGCGTCGACCCCGAGTGAGCACACACACACACCCACACGCACACACACCCGCGCACACACACCCGCCCGCGCTCGCACGCGCGCCCGTGCTCGTGCTCGACGAGGCCACCGCCAGCGTCGACCCCGACCCGTGAGCACACACACACACCCGCGCACACACACCCGCGCACACACACGCACACACCGCGCTCGCACACACACGCGCGCGCCCGTGCTCGTGCTCGACGAGGCCACCGCCAGCGTCGACCCCGAGTGAGCACGCACACACACCCGCGCACACACACCCGCGCACACACACCCGCGCACACACACCCGCGCACACACACCCGCGCACACACACCCGCGCACACACACCCGCGCACACACAACCGCCCGCGCTCGCACGCGCGCCCGTGCTCGTGCTCGACGAGGCCACCGCCAGCGTCGACCCCGAGTGAGCACGCACACACACCCGCGCACACACACCCGCGCACACACACCCGCCCGCGCTCGCACGCGCGCACACACACCCGCCACACACACACCCGCGCACACACACCCGCGCACACACACCATTTTTCTGTTATTTTTCTTTGTTTTTATGAATGTTTATTTAACACTATTTATTCGCTGAAATAACTACAAGTACATTATCTATCTATGTAAACAATCAAATCTTTCCACTGTATAATATTAATACCATCATGTCAGCCAGTAACTATCCACTGCTGCCCCCCACAATAGCGAGGTTTCCCAAGTATTTGCCATGTTTGGCAGACGAGTTGGCAACCACAGTTAAGCTTTTAGTGATATGTTGAGACAGACGTTGCTGCCCATACCTCGACCGATACATTAACTTCCCTTAATCGCCTTTTCCTACGGAAAAGGAAGGGATAGCATTTATCATTACCATTTTATGCCGATGAATATTACGATTACGATATTATTAATATAGATATATAAACGTAAATGTGTGTTCACAGGACAGACAAGCACATCCAGAACACGATACGCACGAAGTTCGCCAACTCGACCGTGCTCACCATCGCGCACCGCCTCCACACCGTCATGGACTACGACAGGGTCATAGTGATGGATAAGTAAGTATCCCATCATCATCCCATTATCATCTCAGCCATTATAGCGCCCCCCCCCCCCCCCCCCCCCATAGACTGCTATAAGGAACGGTCCTGAGCCACCTGCACCCACTGACATTTTGCAATGTATTTGAGGTCGTCAGTCTATGTAATTGGGGGGGGGGGGGTTGTAGGACACTGCTTTTGCCTGTACGGGGTCGCTCAAGAACTTTTCTTCCCCGTAATGTTACAGAGGACGAGTTGTGGAGACTGGCCACCCGTACGAGTTGTTGACACAGAGTACTAACACACAGAGACCTGAGGCGTTGCCGAAATGGTCGCTGCTCTCCAAAAGTCAGGTATGTAATTCTTAGTAATATTATAAATGTACAAAAATGGGTTTATTTGTTACATCCTAGCAGCTAAACAGCTTAACCAGTCACTGTGTAATTTGGTACTTTGTATCTCGATCAGTAAACATATCACGGTCACGCGGACAAAGTCGCGGGTAAAAGATAGTTGCATATATATTTTTGTTTCCCCTAGTCCCCGTTAGAATGAATCATTTCCCCTGGATGAAAATAAATGCTTATAATTTATATAAATATATCGCTTTGGGGGAATTGTCAGCAATATGCCTCAATAGGTCGAACTGCACATGGCTCTCCCCTAGAAACCATCGTTGTCAGTTATTGTTGAATTCGTTACGTTAGGCCAATCGTGACGAATCGTGGCTTTCATCCTTACCTGTCATCCTCGCCAGCATTAACTGAAAGCGCAGGCGGGGTTACCATTCCATTATCACCCATTAAAAAAACATTATACACAGACTAACAATATTTTGGATTACCATAACTGTGTGGCAATCCAGTACGAAATAAAATAAATTAAAATAGTTGTTATATTAATTTACACGATGAAAGCCGCGGTATGACAGCCAGTTAGTATGATGGTGATATCATCCATTCTGCCTGAATATACGTCTCTTTCTTAGGGGATTCTGCCGTGGTTGCCACGCTTGGTAGGCGGATTGGCAACCCCAGTTAAACTTTGGTAGTTTTAAGAGACGCTACTGCCTATCCCTCGACCATGATATTGTAAAAGGGACGTTGCTACCCATTTCTTAACCAGTAAAATCCCTTAGTCGCCTCTTACGACACTCACGAAGGCAGGGGTGGTCTGTTCTATGCCGGGACCACACGGCATGTTAGTATGTCAAGTGCTAAAGAGAGAACGGTCTGTGTGCGCAGGCGCCGCTAGCGATACCCGAGAACTTCGCGTTCGACCAGCGTTCGGACAGTTTCGTCGATGACGCAGCGCCGCACGCGGTGAGGAACAGAATGAGGACATACTCTAACAGGTAACATAACTCTTTACATAATTACTCTTTAGATTCAATAGAGAGAGTGTCTCCATACAAATGCTTTAACAAAAATAATTTATCTATGTGTGCGTGAATAGGGTTACCATAATGTATATTTATTACTAATATGGGAGAAATTATATTGTCAAGTTATATTTAAAAATAAAATATTTTTTTTACGAAAACATTTGAAAGAACAAGATAAATGCATAGTGATTCGTAATGATGTTTATCTTTTTTTTTTATTACGTTGATTTATATCCAAGTATTGTTTTTTTTTTTATTTTAAAATCATTAGATATGGCGGATATTTTACACATGTATATTTATATAATGTTAGACGTAAGGGTGTGTAATGTGTGTGTGTATATATATATATATATATATATACCACCACTTTCCATAAGGTGGGCCGTCAGTTTATTTACCATTGTAAGTTGCATGAAAAAAATATATTTATAAAATCTTATTAGACTCTATATGCATGAATATTATATGTGAAAATGAAAAAAAAATACTGAATACAGATTTGTTAACAACATTCAAGTAATATTCGTGACTTGTCTCATATAATGTTCACATTCCTTTACATTCGCAGGAATTCAGTGAGAGACAAATAATCAAACGAAATGAGAGAAACAAGAATGAAAATTCAAATTAAAACAGCATACCAAGCCGCCTGGCCTGTGTAGTAACTGTAGACTGAATTCTTGTTGGAATATTGATAGATTTATGTAGGTAAACAAGGTAAATTAATATAAATTTAATCCAATCTAATGATATATTTTCAGATCCGAAGTTAGCGATCAAGACACTGGAGGTATTTTCAAGACGTTAGTTGAACAAACCGGGAAAGAGACGGCCGCCATGTTGTATAAAATGGCGGAAGAGGTTTGTTTATTATTTACCACTTGATTAACAATAAAATTGGATAATTTTTGTTTTGTTATTTATTATTATTTTTATATTATTATTATTATATTTGCTATTTTTGTGTATAAATCTTTAATACGTATATATTATTTAATCAATAATATTTTTACAGAGCTATAAAAAGCTGCAAGAGAAGAAGAACATATGAAGAGGTCACAAACAACACTCCACCGCATGTTGCCTTCAATTTTATTCGAATTGTTTGTACTGATCAGTATTTTATATTTATTAATACTAATTTACATTTATTTTACCGACGGTCAAATTAATTATGCGTTATTTACTTACAGTTTATCGTCTAGCTACTTATTTCAATCGTGGATCTCTATATTTACTTATTATATAGATGCAAATTATTTTGTAGTATAAATTTATATTTTATTAGTTTTAATAAACAACTAAGGTCACAATATTATACTATAGTAGGTATCCAATTATCTGCCATGAATAATTTTAGGAAAAAACGCCGAACCAACACGACAACTTCCCGCCAAATATTCTGTCATAATGACAGAAACGACCAGCTGTCAATTGTTGCTAATATCTTCCGCTAGGGTATTTTTTTTATGTGAATGTAGCGTTGACGGTGCTGTTTATAAATTTAAATATTTTAATTTAATTAAAACAAGCGTATTTTAATGAAATTTATTTGTTTTTATTTGTATGTATATTGAATTTTAACTTAATATATATATATTTTTTTTATTTTTATCACTCGAATGAAAAAGTTTTTAGTAATTAGAGAGAATTATGTTCGGCACATTCGAATTTTTATTCTATTCCGTACTTATTAAGGTGCTATTTGTCAATTTTGTACTTATTAGATGTATACCTACAAGGAATTGCAATAGTGTGTGTATGCAACGCTATCTTTAATATACACAATTATAGTTTATTCAATGTTTAAGTGAATCGATCTCGTGAAAAACTAAAATAAGGTCAAGCATCTCGTATTTGAAACTTTAAGTCATGTATAGAAAAAATAGCGTTGTAGAATGTGCCCGGGAAAAGACTCCGCGTCGTTTGACAAGTGAAAATTAATTTCAATCAAATCAACTTAATGCCCTTTTGAGTAATTTTTTTATGAATTCACCGCCAGAATTGAAAAGTTAAAAGATCAGGGGGCTACCATGAAATGAAATTTCTAAGTTTCGGGCTCAAATTCGTGTTTTCGTTCATACCTAATACGGCCCAATAAATGGAGCTTAACATTTCGTTCGTCACAAATCCTACCATAAAAGTCCAAAGGAATAATATTTTTAATGTTTTTGGTATGTAATTTGTAATGGTAAGTATTATGTAGTTTTAACATCAAATTTTGTGTTTCGTTCGGCTCCGAAATTTCGGAAAACATTTCATGATAGGCCCTCCTCAGGTTTCTTACTCATTTATTTAGTTTATATAATATAACTCTATTAGTAACTATATGGCTATTAATAATATAATTTATTATTTAGCGTATTTATGTTTGCACCACATATGTTATGCTTTAAGTGCAAACCCTATAGACACTTGCTCTTTTCGTGTTGTCAAGGTTGACTGAAAGACATCCCTTTAATAGATAAGTCCGCCTGTGTACATTTTTGTTATAACCTAATATCTATAAGTGAATGTACAAATGCAAATAAATAAATTATTTATTATGGCGTATATATGCCATAGACTAAATTAAAATTTGGCACGTTCACTTTTTCTCATTCCATATTGTCTTTGGTATTGCGTAATAGACAAAATAGAGGCGTTTTACTTTAGAACTATCTCTTACCATTTTGTAATCTAAAATTATTAGTCAATTAATAATTAAAGTCAATTCGTCGTCAATTAATCTAAAAGAATTACTTTTTAAAGTCTATATGATGTTTAACTAACTGACTAGTATGTATATATATATATATATATATATATATATATATATATATATATATATATATATATATATATATATATATATATATATATATATATATACAAGTGGTGGTATTTAATATCCAAAGTCAATTGCTTGGGTACCTCTGTCCTATTTGTGTTTCTACCGTGAAGCAGTCGTGCTTGCATGGCTGTGTTTCGGTTTGAAGGGTGGGATATGGCGTGAATTTACTGGGTACAGAGGAATAACACCTGTGTCCTCAGGAATGGCAACGCATGGGGGGTATCATGGGTGAAACAGTATACTCTGTTATGTCCATGGTACTGCTCATGTCTATAGGCGACGGTTACCACTTTCCATCAGGTGGGCCGTCAGCTTGTTTGCCATTCTAAGTTGTATAAAAAAAATGAAGTGGAACCTATGTTATGCAGAAAATAGCAGAAGATGTCCATAAGATTTCTGCATATGCTTTTTTAATAACTACTTCCAATTGTCTATAGCCTATTTTCACCAGTGAACTTATTTATTTTGTTTAAAATAGACGTACCAACAGTATATTTAATGTGTATAAATTAAGTTACATTTTTTATGTACTTCGATCGATTCACTTGTCTACGTAGACACGCGGAGATTTCTTCGAAAAAGGGTGTGATTTTTACAAGCGACATATTTAGATATAGCAATTAATGTGGCACAAATTAATTAATGTATAATTATTTATTATAATAATTAAATCGATGCTGGCTCGTCGATTCGAATTGTAATTTTGTCCTTAGATTATTTAAAATAGAGGGCGCTGCACACCACTACTAATTACTAAAGTGACGTATTACTAGGAAATCTTGCACTTTGCATAGTGAGATGCCATTTTCAAGCATTCTCCAGTGATTCTTTAGGCTGTGTCAATTTACGAAATAAACTCGAACATTTATATTCTGGGTGTTTTTATGGGGTTTCCTATAATAAAAGGTAGATTTTTGCTTATACAACTACATCAATGGTTCCATCCCGACCATCTGAATGAGTGGCAGTCCTTCACCGTGCGTTTTTCAAGGCACTTTCTCCCACGCACAACCACTCTTTGGAATCAATTTCCAGCAGCAGTATTTCCGAACCGATACGACAATATAAACTTCAAGAAAAGAGTATATTCCTTTTTAAAAGGCCGGTAGCACACCTGCAATGCCTCTGGTGTCGCAAGTGATCGTGGACGGCGGTAGTCACTTACCAACAGGCGAGCTGCACGCTCGTTTGCCTTTTATGTTTTAAAACAAAAAAACGGTGCTCGCTATTGTAAATATTCTAATATTTTCTCCAATTATCCCTGTTTTTCTTGTTACCAGTGTAAGGAACAACACTGTGATTGATGTCTTAATACAAATTGGCATTTACTTGAGTGTAACTTAGGTAAGATACTGTGGTATTATGTTACTTTTATGCTAGATCCTTGATGAAAAACATATTGTAGTCTTCATTATACATTGTGCTAGCTTGCCGGTCGAAACATGCACGTAGTGCCCTTTAACAGTAAAAGTGAGCCTGGCTCTCAGATGGTGTACGAGAGATTCTCTTATTCCTGTAAAAATACAATCACCTCTGTTAAATGCCAATTAGAATACGTGTTTGATGAAAAGGCGTCCCACAGATGTAGGTTCAAATAGATGGCGCGTGTACCTCGACTATGTTACAGGCTGGGGTGTTAGGGAATTGTTTATAGCTAGCAAATTCCCTCTCGCACTAAATCATTTAGAAAATTCTATGTATATGGTTGTTTTTTTACTTTTTCGATATAAACTTGATATTGTGTTTCTACCGTAGTGTAGTTATGTTTGCATGGCTGTGTTCCGATTGCAAGGACAGGATATGGTAATGAAATTACAGCGTACAGAGGCATAACATCTTAGTCCTCAGGAATAGCAACGCATGGGGGGTATCGTGGGCGAAACAGTATACTCTGTTATGTCTATGGTACTGCTCATGTCTATAGGCGACGGTTACCACTTTCCATCAGGTGGGAGTCGTCAGCTTGTTTACTAGTCTAAGTTACATAAAAAAAAAATAAAGAAAATCCGAATCATAATTTCGCCGAAGTTAATTAGATTCTATTGACACGCTAAAGCCTTATATTATGAATGCATGTAATCAATGGAGTTTTAAGGCGAAAATTGAAATGCTACATGGCGCGTCTATTTTGTAGCTGCTATATCTATTTGAACCGATGTCTGTGGACGGGCTATTCAACATAAGTCTCGGTGTCCAGTGTACATTCTAATGGTGCTATCGTTACCTTAGTATTAGGATCGGATTCGTTTAATTCAGGAAACAAAGTTTCAAAAATTATTTATCCCCCCCCCCCCTTCTCTCAAATTGTTTGTGATGTAGAGACACGCGAAGCGTATGGTCTGTACCGGGTGACATTGAAGCCGTAAATGGTAAAATAAACATACTATAAATTTTTGTATTATACTTGCAGAAAAAAATTCTTTCATATCCTTGCAAACAGTATGTTTATTAACTTAACCAATTTCTTAAAACTAGTGTTATTATTAATATATAGGGCCTCAAGAAATGTTTTTTGTAGCAATAACTGAAAAATTAAACAAAATTATTAAAGAAAGTTGTTTTTTTTTTTTTTGAGAAATATTATTAATTATTACTTCTACTATTTTTAAGGAATGGGTTAATTAATTAACATACTGTATATTAAAATAATTAACTATTGGAAAAGTAACAGAACCGTAAATCAGATTTTTCAGTTTCGTATAACGCCACGACTTCAATCTCATCAGGTGTACATAGTAAACTTGCTTGATGTATTCCCAAATGTCGATAACTAGCTAATAATTATGTAGACATATTGTTATTTACTCAGCGTGTATGGCGGGTTTGTCTAGTTTTTTAGGGTTCTGTAACAAATTGTGCAAAGGAACCATTATTTTTTACTATTACTTTACTAAAAAATATAAAATTTTATTTTTGTAATTCATAAATTATTTTATTGATTATGTGGTAATGTCAGAAAGGAATGGAAGCCCGCCATCTTGTTTGCCTTTTATTATGTACATAAAAGTTTATTTTTTTAATTTTTTGATATTGAAATCATGTTACCAGTAATGAAGGCATCTGTTTCTGTATACAACAGTTATTTTTATTATATTAGCGAATATAATTATATTGTTTTATCTGAATTATCTTTAGGTAATTATGAAGAGCTTGTGAAAGTTTATTACACTATTGAAAAAGTTGATTTGTTTTATTCTTCTCTGGAATGAACTGTATACCTACCTAGAGAGTAAACGCACGTGTTTAGCTTTTTGAGCGAGACATGATTTTTCATTTCATTCGCCATTTTTCATCTTTTTTTGATGGGTGAATATGAAACTGTAGCCCCACTTTCGCTATCGGTATACGTTGGCGGGGCACCAGAGAGGGATGATAGGGGAGCGCATCGCATGAATTCCTCAACAAATAACCATGATTGTTTATATGGAGAACTACGTGGAGGACGATTTGATAGGATGTATTACCAAGGCTATGATTAAATTTTGGATTGCAATGAAGTTAGACCCCATTACTAATAATCCCTTACCCCCACATTCCTATTTATAGCCGTGGAATTGACGAGCACGACAATACGTACCGATTTTATTTTATACTACTTAGAATGGCAAACAAGCTGACAGTCCACCTGATGAAAAGTGGTATCCGTCGCCTATAGACATAACAGAGTATACTGTTTCGCCCATGATGGGGATGCATGGGGAGTCCCATGCGTGTCATTTCTGAGGACTCTGGTGTTATTCCTCTGTATCCAGTAAATTCACGCCATATACCACCCTTCAAACCGAAACACAGCCATGCAAGCAACTGCTTCACAGTTGAAATACGAATGGGACAGTGGTACCCAAGCAATCGACTTTTGTACAAAATCTCCCCCTGGTATTTATTTTTGTTAGTAATTGGATTTAAGTCTCATTGCTAGCAATATAACCTAAGGAAATCGACCTGCATGCGGTTCTCTCTGGAAATCATCATTAATTATTTATAACTCCGTCACAATGGGTGCATTCAGCTGCTTTTCTCACCTATCATCCCTTTTTGGTGCTGCGCTTGCCGATACCGATAACGCAGGTGGTTACCGTCATATTTTCTTTTATTAAAAACCATTATCCAGCCCCTTTCCATAAAGAGGGTACCGCACTGTTATACAGAGAGCTTTCTTCCATCATCTCAAACATCGGTGTACCTTTCTTACTTCAGTCATCTCTTAGACACACGTATAACCAATATTCAACCCCTGGGGATGAATAACGTTTTTAATTCGTGGCAACTGTGAATAATTGTTGTAGAACTATATTTTGTAATTACTATTTGTTCGCACGTTTCTTTAATTTTATATATTTTTCGTAATAATAGATTTATTCTTATTAATAATGATTTATATGCTAGTTCAATAATAATAATCGATACCTAGTGCTAAATTCATTTCCCTTGATCCTATCCTATCCAATCACCGTCATCGTTTTACCTCCGAGTTACAACAACCAATGAGGACGCTGGAAGTGTTGTATATTTATGTGTACCCATTACATAAATATTGTATTCCATGACGGTATCTTTGAAATAAAGGCAGTGGGTATCTGGCAATCTTCACGTTTTACTACATGGTGACAGCGGGTGCTTAATTAAATTAATTAGTTATTAGTGCGTAATTGTGATAAATACTTATCAATTATAATTAGTCGAGTGCATAAAAAGTAAAATATGGAGCAAGCAAGACCGCCGACTGAGTTAATATTGGAAGGTGGACCAGCAAATCGCGCTGACGCGTGGCGAAAATGGGTCAAACAATTCATGGTCTTCGTGAAGGCGTCAGGAGTGCACAAGGAAGGAAAAGACGTACAAGCAAATTTATTGATCAACCTGATAGGAACAGACGGCTATGACATTTTTTCTACTTTTCGATTCCTCAAAGATGAAAATCAAGAAGATGTGGATATTATAAGAAACTTCAGAACTGCCTTCAATCTTAACCGTCA